GCAGAGCTTATGCATTAGCTTGGGCTTTTCTTCTTATATGGCAAACCCGATGGCGGAAAAACATATTTGGGTCCTTTGGGATCACAGAGTGAAAGTTAATGTGATTGCAGTGAATGAGCAAGCTTTGATTGTTGAGGTGTCCTTCTTGGGTTCATTACCGTTCTTTATGACTTTTGTCTATGTAAAATGTGATCATTTACTCAGAAAACCATTATGGTGTCATTTAGCTGATATCCAATTTTCTGATGCGCCTTGGATGATAGTGGGTGACTTCAATATGATTGTTTCCTCTGCAAAGAGAAAGGGTGGAGCTTCTCATTCTCTTGTTGTGATGAATGAATTTGTATCTTTCATAAATGAAGTTGGGTTGTATGACTGTGGTTTCTCTGGGGCATCTTTCACTTGGTGTAATAACCGCCAAAGCATGTCTCGTATGTGGCAAAGGATATATAGGGCTTTGGTTAATGTGAAATGGGGAGATAGATTTGAGAAGACAAAAGTTGAACATGCTGGCAGAATTCACTCTGATCATTGTCATCTTATCTGTAGATTTTCTGAAATTGCAGCTCCAAGGAGGATATCTTATTTTAAATTTCTAGATATGTGGACGGAACATCCGGGTTTTCTAAAGTTAGTGGAAGATAACTGGACGGGAAGCTATTCTAATAACCCAATTGAGAAAGTGTTTTTGAAACTAAAGTACTTGAAATTCCATTTAAAAAAGTTGAATAAAGAAGTTTTTGGTGATGTGTTTGATAATATCAAAGTGAAAGAAAGGCACTGGCAGCAAACGAAGAGTGGAGGAGGATGATTTTGAGTCAAATGAGCTAGCATTGAACAATGCTAAAATGGAACTAGATGAAGTTCTCAGACTGGAAGAAATGTATTGGAGGCAGAAAGCGAACATACGATGGGCCCTTGAGCGGGAAAGAAATACCAGACTGTACCATGCCATTGCTAGAGGCCAGGTCGCCTACAAAGTGTACCTAGGTTGTCGAATTATTAAAGGGAGGGTTAAGTTGATCTATTTTGAGAAGATATTGCAAAAATTTCAATCAAGATTGGAGGGCTAGTATGCTAAACTCCTCTCCAATATGGGCAGAATAGTCCTTATCAAATCTGTGCTATGTTCGCTCCCCATTCATCTGGTTGCTTCCTTGAACCTTCCTAAAGGGATCATAGCAAATATTAACTCCGCTATGTCTTCTTTTATGTGGTCTAGTAAGAATTTGGTTTCTTGGGATAAAGTTACACTGCCACTAAGTGAGGGTGGTTTGGGAATTCGAAAATTTGCGGAAGTGCAGAATTCATTTAGAATGAAGCATGTGTGGAACCTTTTGTAGAATAGCTCCCTATGGTCCTCTTTCTTTTCTACAAAGTATCTAAAGGGTAATCACTTGTTGCGTTTCACCAATCAGGTCCAGCCCAGGTGCCTTAAAGTGTTTTCTCCATGGTTTGAAGTCATCATTAGCAACTCAAAGATGTTAGTTGGTTCAGGCTCTAGTTTGGATTTTTGGTGTGATAATTGGACTGGTGGAGGCCCTCTCCTTCTTAGGAATTCAACTACGCCAGTTCATTTGCCTAAGTTGTTAGTGTTGCTTATTCAAGTTCAATGGCAACTACAAAGTGTAATTCACCAGTTAGATTAGAATCTCCTCCAGGAGGTTCTCTCTTCTGGGGTTATCCTATCAGAACAACAAGACAAGCTCATTTGGCAGCCCCCTCCACTGGGGAACTTTTCTATCAAAACAGCCTGGGAATTATCTAGGAGGAATAATATGCAAGATGATCAGGCCATTAGCATATGGAAGCAGTGCTCTCCCCCTAGTGCACAGTTAATTGGATGGAAGCTTATGAAGAGTGCACTCCCCCTAGACTTAAAATTCAAGAGCTTGGGATTTTGTTTGGCAAGTAGATGCCCTTTATGTTTTTGTGAGGAGGAATCTACTTCTCATCTATTTATCTCTTGCACTTACACCTCTCAACTTTGGTGCAAAATTTCTAGTCTGTTGGGTTTTCTGGTGTTCCCTACAGAGCCTCCAACATCCAGGTTTCTCAGATTATGCAGGATTTATCCAAAACAGTCTATGATTCATACTATAATGAGGAGTATACCCTTGTTGGTTTACTTGCAGTTATGGAAAAAACGTTGCAATAGGGTCATTGAGAATCAGAGGTAGTCTCTTAACTCTCTTTCTTCTATTATTATTCATGTCACGCCCCGAATTTCCAAAAACCCGAGGAGCGAGTGAAAATGGAAAAGAAAAGTAAATGAAAGGTCATTAGGTTGGATAAATTGGTTTCTCATTCATTTCCCATGTTTTCCCAAAGTTTTTTAAATCACTTTTCTTCCATTTTTAGCTTATTTCTTCAAGGTGTCTAAACCCCCCTTTTGACATCCTTTCCACGTATTTAAAAGGTGTTTTACACACTTAACAAGTCTTTTAATTTTTAATAAAATTTTGACATAACCTCCTTTGTTTCCAAGCCTTTTTCCCACCTAATATTTACAATATTTCATATGCATTATTATATCACAATCCACCTTTACTCGGTGGCTACAACCCATGTAAATTAAACATACATCTCTTATTCTCAACATATACATCTAATTGCCCCCAATATACACATATGATACTTATTAAATAAAGACATCCCAAATATCAAATGAGTTTACACTCTTACACATTAAAATTGTCTAAAACTTTTAATCCACTACTTTTTCAAACTAGAATACAAGTCATTTGAGCTTATACCCATACATACAAAATATGCCCAATGGCCAAATATACATTCATTTCCCTTTCCTCTCCTTCCTCTAAGACTTCCTCAAGTCTCAAGTACCGGGAGTCTCATCTGTAATATGATATCCCACGAATGGGTCAGCTCAACTGCTGGTATGACAAAGTGCTAATGCTAGGAACAAATTTAAGGCATGACATATGCAAGTGTACATTTTAAAAACTACAACCCCATAATTCCTCAATGCTATGCAATGACAATATGCATGACACACCCATGCAACTCTATGCCACCCATGTCTCGCTTCACGGTCCTCTCCCGTCAGCCTGTGAGTACTGTTATTGGCTAGATTTTGGGTTTTTCACCACAGAATCTACACCCTCATAATGCATAGCACCAAGTGCTCAACCCACACTATGTTCCAAGGATTCATGTATGCCAAGATGCCATGATTTTTCTCAATGTAAATTCTATGAAACATTTCATCAATCACCTTATCTACATAAATGTGAAGCACCATTCAATGGATTTAAACATATGATCAACCTTCATATTCCTATGAAATATTTCATCAAATACCTTATCTACATAAATGTGAAGCACCATTCAATGGATTTAAACATATGATCAAGCTTCATATTCATTACTTTCACAATTTCTCAAATAAACTACAAATACACAAACTACCAACTCATGTAATAAATCATAACTCTCAAACCACAAGAGTTTCTCTACATGAACATAAGTTATAATATAATAATCCAACACATAAGCAATATACACCTTCACCATAGCAACAAATTATCAAAAAACTTAAAGAACACAAAAGTACTTAAACCACTAATTCTATGTTTTCAAAGCAACTACCAACTAAATAATTTTCTAACATCAAGTAAACACCTAAATCATTCAGTCAACACCTAGGAAGGCAATAAAACATAAATCTATTCCCAACTTAGCAAAATATCATACCTAAAATGGTTTTTCTCAAACCAAGAGAGTTGTGTTCTCTTTGTAGCTGAACAGATAGGTGAGAATGTAGCCCTTGTTGAGAGGAACAACTTCTTAGAACGAAGTCTTGTAAAAATCTTGGCCTAGGAATGAGTTTTGGTGGCTTGAAGTTTCAAGAACCTAGGGTTTTTCTTCTCTTTCCTCCAAAAAAACATGTACTGACCTGTCTTAGCCCAAAAACTGATATTTTTACACTAAGGGGGCTGTATTTATAGTGGAGGGGTAAAGGTGCAAAATGACTCTTTTGCTCTTGATGAATCCAGGACACCGTTACACTACAACTCGTCCTGAAACGCCTCAATTTGACATTTTATTTTAACCAAAGTTCTTAAAATTATTTTAAATAAAAGTTTTCAAAAAAATATATTTTCGCTAGTGGCCGGGTTTGGCCTGTCCCACCTAGGCTGCCCGGGATACCTTTTTTGTCAAATTTTTGAATTTATTTTCGTTTACGCTCAAATTTGTATAGTAGGTGTATTTTAATATTCTAAGCATATTTCTCTTCTATGACATACTCAAATTATACTCATAAATATTATTTATACCTAAATAATGCATATGTAGTGCCCTACCGGTAAATGTTGCATGAATAGTGCCCTACCGGCAAAATTGAAAAATTTATCCTTACTTTTCAAATCTCTACAATTCATCTACTTAGGTTACAAGCAGTTATATTTATGCCCAAAGTCTTGGATTTTGTTAATGGACAATCCATGCTCTAGTCTCTTAATATCAGGTTGTGTACAAAGGTTTTTAAGAGTGTTAAATGGATTTGCTGGAATTTTCCTCCTCAGGGTACTCTTAAGCTAAATACAGATGGTGCCTCAAAGGGCAATCCTGGTCAATCAGGTGGTGGTGTGGTCCTACGTAATGAGTGGGGTTAGTTGGTTCTAGCTGGATCATATTTCTATGGTATTTTGCTCTAATATGGAAGCATAAATTCTTGCCCTCCTAGATGGTCTGCTTCTTGTGAAAAATTATGGTTGGAGGTTTATCCCTTGATTATTGAGACAGATTCTCAAGTCCTTGTGGACCTGATTAAGCAGCAGTCTATGTTAGCTTGGAAGTTTTAGGCCCTCTCTCGCAAGATTTTTACTATTCTCCAAAGTTTTGAGTATCAAATACAGAATTCCTATAGAGAGGAAAATGTAGTTGTAGACTCATTGGTCAATCAAGGAGTTTGTGACCAAGTTTTTCACACTCACACTTCTTCTCATACTCCGAATCTACATACGAGACAACTCCTAATGCAAGATCAGCGACAAATTAAGTCTCTACGCTCTAAAGTCAAAGTACTCCCATAGTTGATCTGGATTTGGGCCTTTGATGCAGCATCCATATATGTAGTTTAAGTCTTTTCTTTAGGGATATGTTCAAGTAAATTAGATTTATTCCTTAGCATGCAACAGAAATAGATGGCCATCCAATAAAACAAACACAACAGTCCATCCAGGGCCCTATTTTCCAGAAACAAAGAAACTAAAGGAAAGAAGTTTAAGGTGGGCACCTGCTTTGGGAATAGATCTTGCTTTTCTCTTTTCTGGCCATCAGCTGGTTAGCACCGAGTTTTGGTTTGTTGCTGATGCTGGATGCTCTGATTCACTGTCCTTTACTTCAGCTGGAATTTCTTTGGCTCTTCATGACTACTCTATTGGAACTTCATGGCTGGTGATCTATCTTCACTCTGATGCTTCCTGGATATCTCAACCTTGGATATTGTCTGGATATTTATCTTCTCCATTTGCAGAAGAGGAGGTGCTTTGTTTTGCAACAATGCTGGCATGGATTCTCCCAGGCATAGACTCTCTGCCTCTTCTGTGGAGTGATTCTCTTCTGTGGTTTTTTCATAGCTCTCCTCCATCTTAGACTTTTCTCCCCCATACGTTTCTTACAATGCCCTTTGGTTTTGCCAAAACTAAGGCTTTCAGACTTCTCTCACTATTCAGAGTACATGGAACACAACAATAGTCTGTCCAACTGCCTTATGCTTCGCACTTCGTGCCATATCAGATTTCTCCTTACTTCATTTCAATAGGTGCAGCTGTAATTCAATAAGGTGGCTGCCTTATCAACTGCTTTGTACAGCTCACAGCTCACCAGTCCATTCCTCTCAACTGGATCCCCTTAGCTACTGGATGTCTCATCTTCAACTATCAGCTCAGTAACACTCTCAGCTCACTCTCACGTCTGCTGTCATTACTGCAGCCCACATTTAAATTGCATCTTTCAGCTGTCTATTTTATTTTAGGAGAAACATGTTTAGAATTTATTTCTTTTATTTATTATGTACTAAGCATGCATTTTGCTCTCTTTTCAATTTTATTGCATGTAATTAGATTGCATCAAGGGATAAGGTACATACGTCCCCCCTAGTTAGGTGTAATTTAATTTTTTAATCAATAAAATTTCTCTCGCACCGTTGAGGTTCCACCCAAAAAAAAAAAGAAACTTTTTCAACTATTGATTGATTAACCCTAATTAATGTATAATTTAATTAAGTTAGTAGGTCAATTGTGTTAGTTAAACAAAGTTAAACTAGTTAAACTAAATCAAATTAGGGTTAGTGTGTGAATTATGAATAATGCATTGATTATTGTTCTTTTCAGGATTTTGTGCGTCAAAGCTACCAATTATTGGGGAGCCAATTACGTCAAAGCTACAAACTACTGGGGAGCCAATTATCAAAGCTACAAACTATAGGGTGCCAATTATTAAAGCTACAAACTATAGGGTGCCAATTATCAAAAGCTCAAAAATAAAGGGAGAACAAAGTGTAATTCAAACTCTCTCTTTTTGCCTATAAATTCCACCCCTTGGGTCTTGTAAAGATCATCTTTTTTCTTGAATGATCTTTCTTGTAAAGAGCATCTTTTGGTTGTGAAAAATCCTCTAAAAGTCATTGTTACTTTCTTGTAAAGAGCATCTATTGGTAGTGAAAAACCCTCCAAAAGTCATTATTGCTTTCTTGTATCATTGTTTTCTTGAAAAGAGCACCTTTTAGTAGTGAAAAATCCTCCAAAAGTCATTATTGCTTTCTTGTATCATTACTTTCTTGAAAAGAGCACATTTTGGTAGTGGAAAATCCTCAAAAGTCATTATTACTTTTTTATTATTGCTTTCTTTTCTTGTATTATTGCTTTCTTTTAATATATTGCTTCTTTTATTGTATTATTGCTTTCTTTTTATTTATTACTTTCTTTTATTTCCATTATTTTGAGCTTCCTTATTCCCTTAGAGGAGTGAAACTTTTCCACTTTTCTAACGCTTTACCAAAGCCATGAAGGATGAAACGTGATTCACTCATTCTTTGTCGAAGATTGGTTCCGTGTGTAATATGTTTTACCTTGCAACTCCTCTACTTGGAGGGATGGACATCACTCATTTTTCTAGTTTTACTAAAGCCATGAGGAGTGTGTAATTTCTCATCCAATCTTTAGTAAGAGGTGATGAACATGTATAATTATCCGGAAGTTATATTTGTGCATTTCGTTTCTGTTTAGCTCCAATCTTCATTTATTCATAATGTCTTCTCATTACATTATTGTCTTTACCTTAAGCATGAGTAGCTAAGCCTTTAAGTTGGCTAATCCAAGGGAGACATCCTCTTGGGTATGCCATTTAAATTCAATTTTCCTTCCTCCTCTCAGAGTATGATGATTCAGTTTGACTGGGTAAAGGGTGGACGGGATTATGAGTCTTTGATATCCCGTAGACTTGTCACTGGTTATGCTTGGTTCCTCACTTCCATATCATCTCTAGCTTCCCACGAATCAATCGTACATCTATGCTTTATTGGAGGAAGGATTCGAGTTGACTTGGTATTCCCATTGGAGTGAACCCTTTGGATTAGTCAACATTTGTTCTATTTCATTTTCATCAAAATCACAAACCAACTTCAAACAACAAAAGATTTAACATTTTTTTTTCACCAAAAGTACCTTCTACACGATTAACCTCCTTCCATGAGGAGACGACCTTGGAATACGGTTCCAAGTAAAACATGACACACAAAAGTCTTCTTGCACTTGGGAAGCATTTTTGTTCACACACACACACACATTTCATTCTACCATTCTGTTGCCCTTTCTTTTGACATCATTCCTGGGGAGAGTGACACTCCCCTCCACACATAGACTATACGCATTGAGGGATGATGTTTAGAGGTTAGGAAATACTACAACGGAAACAACCAAGCATTTTTGGCGCCGTTGCCAGGGAAGGCAAGTGTCGAATCAAGAAGGTGATTTTCGGACAACGGAGGTAAGTCCCGTGATGTTCATCATGGGCTGACGTACGTTGATCCTTGTATATACTTTTGTTTGTTTACATTTTTATTTGTAGATAGTTCTGTTATATGTGGGGTCAAGGCGAACAAAATCAACTAGTTAGACAACCCTTAGGCCCTAATATGAACATTGACCAAGACCCACTCGAGGATGCGGGTGATAATTTTGAGAATATAGGTGTCAATCCAAACATGTGACTGGGTGGGGGAGGACAAGAACCTAGAATGCCCAATCCACGAATGGAATTCCCCCCTCCCGTGAATGAAGGGAACAACATTCACATTGAGCCTCTGGCAAGGTCAATGAGGGATTTCTTTTAACCCACACGAAGCACCACACCTTCATGCATCCTCCTTCCGGTCCAAGTTCATCTCTTCCTAGTTAAACCATGAATGTTGCAACTACTCCCCACATTCCATGGAATTGAGAATTAGAACCCCTACTTGCACATAAAGGATTTCGAGGAAATAGTTGCAACCTTCCTCACCACTCATGGTATAGAAGACATAGCTAGGCTAAAATTGTTCCCTTTTTTCCTAAAAGGTAAGGCAAAAATGTGGCTTAATTCCTTGAGGCCTCGATCCGTAACATCTTGGAACCAAATGCTCTTTGAGTTTTTTAATTTTTTTTTTGGTGCATAAAATCACCAATTAAAAAAAACAAATTCAAAACTTTTCGGAGAAGCCCAATGAGCAGTTCTACTAATGTTGGGATCGGTACAAGGAGTTGCCACAATCCATTCCACACCATGGCTTTGAACCATGACAGTTGATGAGTTTCTTCTATGAGGGAATTACACTGGGCCATCGACAGTTCATAGATATGATGTGTAATGGGGGGTTTTTGAGTAAGGACCCCGATGAGGCCTTAGACTACTTTGATATATTGGCTCAAAATACACAATCATGGGACATTACGGATTCCACCGATATACCAAGGTATTCTCCTCAAGGGAATAACCAAACTCATGGGGGAGGGATTTATGACTTAAGAGACCGAGAAGACTTGCTTTCCAAAATTGCCAAGTTATCTAGGAAGGTTAAGAGTCTTGGGTAAATAGCAGACACGAGGTGTCAAATGTTTCAAAGATTGAGGAGGGCTGCTTAATTTGTGAGAGTGTAGATCATTCCATATCGGAGTTTCCTAACATTCTGGCACTTAAGGAAGTGTATCACGAGCAAATCAATGCCTTTAACCAAACGAGGCAATCATTCTCTCCACATTCAAACACTTACAATCTGGGTTGGAGCAATCACCCAAAATTTAGTTGGAGAAATGAGAATCCCACTCCTCATGGTTCAAATGTATACACACCTCCCGTGCCTCCTAGGCAAAATCAATTTCAATCCCAAGGTCAAGCGTCTAGCTCCCAATACCCCCGGACCAATGCGCAAGGGTATTCGTTAAACCCACCACCATAAAATTTTTCACCAAGTCCACCTCCACAAAGCTTTTCCCAAGGGCCATCCAATCCTCCCACCTATCAACCTCCCCACAAGAGGAATTTGGAGGATATGGTTCATGCTTTCATTCAAAGTCAGACTACCATCAACAATCAAAATGTCGTAGCTTTTAATGACATTCAAGCCCAACTCATGAAGCTGACAAACTCTATGGGGGCATCACAACAAGAGAAAGGGAAATTCTCCGTTCAACACCAAGAGAACCCTAGAGGTCAACATGTCGTTGAGTCGTCGGAGCCCTTAAGGGAGAGTTGTGAGCAACTCAAGGCGATTACCACCCTTCGTAGTGACAAACAAATTGATAAGACCATCGTGTCAAAAGTCTCACCCAAGGCCACATTGCCAAAAGAAAAAGAGACCATGGATGACACCATTGAGGGTGGGTGAGTGAGAAGAGAGAAAATGAGGTAGTTGAGAATAAAAAATTTGTTAATGAAAGTGTGTTTGTTTCCCCCATGCCTCTCTTTTTCCCAATCGCTTGAAGCCACCCATCAAGGTGGATAATTATTCTAATATCATTGAAATGTTTAAGCAGGTGAAAATAAACATTCCACTCCTGGATGCGATAAAGTAAAATTCCATCTTGTGCAAAGATCTTCAAGGACTTATGCACTCTGAAGAGGAGGCTCAATGTTCACAAGAAAGCATTCTTCACGGAGCAAGTGAGTTTGATTTTGAGGACAAACACCCCTCCAAAGTTTAAAGACCCAGGCTGCCCCACCATTGCCATAACAATCGGGAATTGCCGGGTGGATCAAGCATTCCTTGATTTAGGGGCTAGTGTAAACCTCCTTCCGTACTCAGTGTACCAACAACTTCAGCTCGAATAATTGAAGCCTACTACAATCGCGCTTCAATTGGAGGACCATAGTGTCCGGACACCAAGGGGAGTAGTTGAATATGTTTTAGTGCAAGTCGATAAATTTTACTTTTCTATTGATTTTATTGTACTTGACACTCACCCGGTTGCAAATCTTAAATCCCAAATCCTTGTTATACTTGGTAGACATTTTCTTGCTACATCTAATGCTGTGATTAATTACAGGAACGGTCTTATGAAGCTAGCATTTGGGAACATGACTATGGATCTCAATGTGTTCAATTTGTCCAAGCAACTGGGGGATGACGTGGAGGCACATGAGCTTAACCGGATCAACACCTTGGTAGAGGAGCACTTGGAGCAAATAAGCACCTTCAAGTTAGAATAAGAGGGAAATGTTGATATAAAAGAGCTTGATGAGCAAAATGAGTTGGAGAGTTTGAAAAGGGTGGAGAGATGGACTCCTACATTTGAGAAACTTGAACATCAAGAAAAGAAAATCTTTCCATCACATGTACAAAAACCCATGTTGGTATTGAATCCACTACCATCCCACTTGAAGTATGCATATCTTGTAGAGGAAGAAACTTTTTCGGTGGTGATTAGCTCAAACTTGGATCCAAAGCAAGAATAAGATCTCTTGGAATTGTTAAGGAGACATAAAGAGGCGATTGGTTGGACAATTGCCGACATAAATGGGATAAGCCCCCTCATTTGTACTCATCGCTTCTATCTTGAGGATGACTCCAAGCCATCTCGACCACCACAAAGAAGGTTGAACCCAATCATGAAGGATGTGGGGATAGACGAGGTCTTAAAGCTACTTGATGTGGGTATCATCTTTCCAATTGTCGATAGTAAGTGGGTTAGCCCCACACAAGTAGTCCCCAAGAAGTCGGGAGTCACCATGGTGACAAACGATGATAATTAGCTTATTCTAACGAGGGTGATCACCAGATGAAGAGTGTGCATTGACTACCGTAAGCTCATTGCATGCACAAGGAAATACCACTTTCCATTGCCATTTCTTGACCAAGTATTAGAACGAGTAGCGGGGCATCTATTCTATTGCTTTTTAGATGAATATTTCGACTACAATCAAATCGAGATTGCATTGGAAGATCAAGAGAAGACCACCTTCACTTGTCCCTATAGTACTTTTGCCTACCGTCGCATGCCTTTTGGGCTATGTAATGCCCCAGGGACCTTTCAACGTTGCATGATGGGGATCTTCAGTGATATGGTGGATAAGATAGTAGAGGTTTTTGTGGATGAATTTTCAGTGTTCAGGGATTCATTTGAAGGATGTATGAAAATTTTAGAGAAAGTTCTATAGAGATGCCAAGAAAAGAACTTAGTCCTCAATTGGGAGAAGTGTCACTTCATGGTGATGAAGGGAATTGTTCTCGGTCATATAGTTTTGGAAAAGGGTGTCGAAGTTGACAAATCAAAGGTGGAGGCCATCTCCAACCTACCTACGCCAAGAGTCATCAAGGATATCAGGTCGTTTCTAGGCCATGCTGGTTTTTACCATCACTTCATAAAATTTTTTAGTGCATTGGCCCGACCCTTAACCAACTTATTGTCTAAGGATGTCTCATTCAAGTGGTCGGATGATTGTGAGGTAGCTTTTAAAAAACTCAAGCATGTTTGTCACACCTTCGATTATGCGACCACCTAAGTGAGATTTACCTTTTGAGCTTATGTGCGATGCAAGTGATTATGCAATCAGCACAGTGCTCGGTTAGAGGGAGGACAATAGACCTTATGTAATTTACTACGCTAGCAAAATGCTCAATGAAGCCCAAATGAATTACACCACTACAGAAAAGGAGCTGCTAGCGGTAGTATTTGCACTAGATAAATTCCGTTCTTACATCATTGGTTCATCGATAATAGTCTATACTGATCACTATGCTTTGAAGTATTTGTTGTCTAAGCAGGATGCCAAACTAAGACTTATCAAGTGGATCTTCCTACTCCAAGAGTTTAATCTTACGATCAAAGACAAGAAGGGAGTGAAGAATGTGGTGGCGGACCATTTATCTCGACTAGTGGTGCAAGAGACCGATGAGAACATTCCTATCCCCGATGAACATTTATTCTCAATTCATTCTATTTGTCCTTGGTATGCTGATATATGTAACTGTCTTGCAATAGGACAAATACCACCGCATTGGAGTCTGGAGGATCGAAGAAGATTTATGGAAGATGTGTAGTACTTCTACTTCAACAACCCGTACCTGTTCAAATACTGTTCCAAACAAGTCATGTGGATATGTGTACCAGAGAATGAATAGTGGGATGTCCTTGCATTCTGTCATTCACAAGCATGCGGTGGCCATTTCTCAGCAAAAAAGACATCGGCAAAAATTCTTCAGTCAGCTTTTTATTGGCCTTCTCTTACAAAGGATTGTATTTCATTTTGTAAAGAGTGAGATAGATGCCAACGTTTAGGTAGCGTGACTCAAAGGAACATGGTGCCCCTTTCCCCTATGCCTGTTATCGAAATATTTGATTGTTGGGGTATCGACTTCATGACTCCCTTCCCTATGTCGTTTGACTATCTATACATTTTACTGGCAGTGGACTACGTGTCCAAATAGGTGGAGGCTATCCCAACCAAGACTAATGACCACCGGGTTGTAGTCAAGTTTCTCAAGGAGAACATTTTTTCGAGGTTTGGGATGCCTCGTGCAATGATAAGTGATGGTGGATCACATTTTTGCAATAGGCCATTTGCATATTTAATGTTTAAATATGGCGTCACACATAGGTAGTGAGCCGGTCAATGCAAAACAAATTCATATTTACCCTAGTATTTATTTGATGTGGGATAACTGGGCCATAATAAATTACCAGAAAGATGCATGAATTACATACTGATGAGCAAACACAACTTCAATAGATTGTGTATAACTCATCTTCTTTTCCACAATTAAAAATCTCGATGCTATACTAACCCACCCTTTCAATGGTGCCACATATTCCCAGATCTGAGGTTTGGCATCCTTATGCTTGCATAACTAAAACAAATTGAAAAGTTACAATCCCTTATCAAAAATTAGAATGAAATTAATGGACTTATAGTGTAATTCCAGCTTCATCCTTACTTGGAGACCAACAACATCATCCGTGGCCAAGATGGTAACAAACCAAAATTAGAATGGGCACCGGCTCCATATAATCCCTTTGTGGGATTAGATATTAGACCTAATGAACAAGTGAAATCAATCAACAAAAAAAATTATGCATGCTCCACAATGGTGTTTGGTAGCTTTTGTTTCAATTTTAACCTTCATAATGTAGCAGGCGCAACATGGCAATAGGCTTGCCAAGCATTTCTTGCTGATAAAAAAAGTTGCCCACAAGGTCAAGTGCAAGGGCTATGAGTCTTGCAATTGCTTTTGCCACTTCACTGAATGCATACATAGAGAGATGAGAAAAAATAATGTGATTAGACAAAGGAACAAAGTCCAAGACTCCAAGTTGCCTTTTACGTTCAAACCCAAATCAAGGCTGCTCATTACACGAAAATGTATCCAGAAGATACTAAGATATGACCAAAAATCAAGTCATCATATTTGAAACAGAAGTCTAGGGGAACAACACATAAAGATGACTGAAAAGTCCGGCTCTATAATTTCTAAACAAGTCTTATCGTAGGAAAAGACACCATTGTCTGATCAGAAAAAGGCAAAAACTACAAGAGGTTTCATCTATAACATGAACTCGGCAGCTAACATTATTCAATCTTTAACCTCAGATGGAAATCTCTTTTGTTTTCCCAAGATTCAAAGTTGTCTAAAAAATAGAAATCTTAGAAAAATGCATCATAAGGGAATCCATAAAGAATAATGAGGCATAACACATTGTAGAATTTTGAGTGAAGTGCAATTAGATCTATTTTTTGGGACGAGTTAGATAAATTTTGGGACTCGTAAACAATTGTTATCACAAAGAATAAAGAATATTAGTGGTGGACTTCAGTTAGCTAATAAAAAGAATAGATCCCATTATCAAAGAAGGGTTCCTGAAAGTAGTATAGCATAATTGATGTTAACTGAAAAAAATCGTAAGCTCCTATATTTGGTAGATTCTACAAAATTACAGCAGATGGTATATGTATTTATGTAACTACACCCACCCACATACATATGCATATATAAAGGAATCAAATGCCTTCAGAGAATACACATCATAGAAGAATGCATCCTATGAGAACCCCTAAAGAATACTCGATTATCATGATCTTTTGCTTTCCTCATAATGTGATCTTCTCACAACACTTCCTAGTTGATGCAATACTTTAAGATGCCAATAACATATTGATGTCTTCATTAAACAAACATCAATGAAATGTAATTGTTCATGTTGGAATCTAGAGGACTATTACACACTCACTAAAAAAATATAATGGAAGAGACTATTAAAGATTGGAAGAACTCTTTCTATTCACTCATATCAAAATGCATGTATTACATAGGATATATATAGACTCTCATGGCATGCAAAATAACTCCACTACATAATGCAATAATGAAAATAATAAAGACCCCACTCCTCCATTACTTGGAGAATTAAAATACCACAATTACTTTGTCCCCCACTAATATCAAATTGATGACCCACTAATACAAAAAACTAAATACATAAAAATAACTCCTAAAACATGAAAAGTCATGTTTAAATATTATTTTTCCCACACCCCCCCTTAAACATGATTTTTCTTTTCAACCCCAAGCAAACTTCTCAATTTGTAAAAGACATCCTCTTTGAGGGGCTTAGTAAAAATATCGACAATTTGATCTTGAGACTTCACAAACTTGAGCTCTACCTCTTTCTTGGTCACATACTCTCTAATGAAATGGAACCTTGTGTCAATATGCTTACTTTGATCATGAAACACTGGATTCTTTGCCGATGCTAGTTCTGATTTGTTGTCAATGAAGATCTCCGACGATTTTTCTTAAGGCAAAAGAAGCTCCTTCAACAAATTTCTAAGCCAAATGGCTTGACAAATACATGATGTATCCGCCACATACTCGGCTTCACAAGTCAAAAGTGTCACAATGGGTTGCTTCTTTGAAGACCAAGCAAATGTGGTATATCCCATGAAGAAAACATATCTGGCAGTACTTTTTCTATCATCCATTTCTCCGGCCCAATCACTATCACAATAACCCGTAAGCTTGGAATTGTTAGAACAAGAATACAACAATCTATAATCAATTATACCTTTGATGTATCTAAGAATTCTTTTCGCAGACTTCAAATGGGTCATGGTAAGAGCTTCCATATAGCGACTTACAAGACCAACACCAAAAAGAATATCCAGCCTTGTGCATGTTAAGTACCTCAAACTTCCCACTAGGCTCTTGAAATGGGTAGAATCCACATACTCTCCATCTTCATATTTTGACAATTTTACACCACATTTAACGGGTGTGCATACCAGCTTACAATCTTGCATCTTGAATTTTGCCAAAATTGCTTTAGCATAACCTTCTTGAGAGATAAAAGTACCTTCTTTCATTTGCTTCACTTCAATGCCAAGGTAGTATGACATAAGCCCAATGTTGGTCATCTCAAATTCTTTAGCCATTGCTCTCTTGAAATCTTCAATCATTCTTGGACAATTTCTTGTGAAGATCAAATTGTCCACATACAAACAAGCATAGAGTATATCACCATTATCATTCACCTTTGCATAAAGAGTATGTTCATGGGGACACTTGGTGAAATTATTAGCTTGAAAGTACTTGTCAAGTTTACTATTCCAAGACCTTGGTTCTTGCTTCAAACCATACAAAGCCTTTTTTAATTTCAAGACTTTCTCTTCTTGTCCTTTCATAGCATAACCCAAGGGTTGTTCAACATACACCTCTTTATCAAGAAAACCATTCAAAAAAGTGGACTTTACATCCATTTGATGAATTTTTCAATCATTTATAGCGGCTAAAGAAATAATCAATCTAATTGTTTCCAAATGAGCAACGGGTGCAAATACCTCATCATAGTCAATACCCGGTCTTTGACTACAGCCTTTTGCAACCAACCTTGCTTTATTCCTCTCCACTTCACCTTTGACATTTTTCTTTGTCTTGTGCACCCACTTCACTCCAATGGCCTTTTGTCCTCTAGGGAGTGTGGCAAGCTTTCATGTTCCATTTCTTTCAATAGCATCAATTTCTTCATTCATGGCACTCATCCACTTCTTGTCTTGTGTCACTTTCTCATAGCCTCTGGGATCACAATCGGCAAATAGACAAAATTGTGTTAGATCACTAAATCCTTGAATTACCTCTTCGGTTTCTTCATAGATATCTCAAAGACTCCTCATGCGAGGTGGCCTTTCACTTCAACTTGCTTCAGATGATGATTGAGATGCTTGCACATTGGTGGATGATGGTGGTGATGGTGGAGGAAAATAAATGGGCAGCTCCATAATCTCATTATTGGGCTCCTCCTCTTCTTCAAAGAATGGGAAAAAATCATAGTTTTCTTGTGGAGTGTTCCAATCCCATTTATCTTTTCATCAAACTCAACATCTCTACTAATGATTATCTTGTCATTACTTGAGTTATAAAGCTTGCAACCTTTGCTTCTTGAATCATAGCCAATAAAGAAAAACTTTTCACTCTTGTCATCTAGTTTGGTCCGTTTTTCATCTTGCACATGTGCATAGCATATACTTCCAAAGACCCGCAAATGAGAAACATTTGGCTTAATTCCTCCCCATGCTTCTTGTGGTGTTTTGTCTTGAACACTTCTAGTGAGACACCAATTTAACAAGTAGATGGCACAATCAATAGCTTCCGCCCAAAACTCCTTGGATATTTTTTTACTCTTCAACATACTCCGAGCCATGTCAAGAATGGTTCGGTTCTTCCTTTCAGCAACACCATTTTGTTGTGGTGATCTTGGAACCGTTAGAGGATGGTGAATTCCATTTTCTTCACAAAACAATTTGAATTCATTTGATGTGAATTCACCTCCTTTATCGGATCTAATTGCCTTAACTTCATACCCACTTTATTTTTCAATCAAAGCCTTAAAATTTTTGAAAACACCAAACACCTCCAATTTTAATTTTAGAAAATATACCCACGTTTTTTGGCTAAAATCATCAATAAAGAGAAGAAAATATCGGTTCTTGCCAAATGATGGTGGGTCTATAGGGCTGCAAACATCCGAGTGAACAAGTTGAAGTGGTTTGGTTGCCCTTGAAATGGATTCTTTGGGAAAAATCTTTCTAGTTTGCTTTCCAATTAAACATCCCTCACAAAGTTTATACAGGTGGTTGATAGAAGGCAATCCGTTCACCATCTTCTTTCTAGACAACAAGGTTAGTCATCCAAAATTTAGGTGTCTAAATCTCAAGTGTCATAACCAAGAAGAATCTTTAATTCATGCTTTCAATCATTTTGCCACATCACTTTGAATATTTAACAAAAACATTCTATTTATTGTCATCGGCACTTTAGCAACCAAATTCCCGTTTCCATCTCTTATTGAAAGATTACGATTTTTCATGCAAATATCATAACCTTTCTCTAAGAGTTGTCCCAAGCTCAAAATATTATTTTTCATGTTTGGAACATAAAAAATATTAGAAATAACTTGGTGCCTTCCCATCCTTCAAACAAATCAAAATATTACCTCTTCCCATTATCAGAATTTGAGAAGAATCTCCAAAAGTGACTTTTCCACTCACCGATTCATCAAGCTCCGCAAACATCTCTTTATTTCCACACATATGATTACTAGCACCGGAGTCAAGGTACCACACGTTCTTGTCTCCCTTTTGCTCTTCTTTGTGTGCCAACAACAAGGTTGGCTCTACCTCTTCAACTTTGTCTTCAACAATGTGTGCTCTTTCTTCCACAAAATCATTTCTACACTCGGAAGCAAAATGGCCATATCGATGACAGTTATAACATTGAATATAAGATTGTTATACCTCCCTCAATATGACTTTGAATTTTTGCCTCTCCCACGTCCCCTTCCACGATGTGATTCTTGGCCTCTTTCTTCTTTGTTGGACGTATTTTGGCCAAAGTTTTCTCCTCTACCTCGACCACGTCCACCACGACTTCCACATCCACGTCCACGCCCTCTACTTCTTTGACTTCCATCTTGCCTTCTTTCTTTTTCTTTGAAAGAAAGATTGGTTTGTAGCACTTGCTCCAACGGCTCTTGCTTCTTCTTGCCTAGTCGTTTTTCATGGGCAAACAACGATCCCATGAGTTTGTCAATCGTCATTGTGTCTAAATCTTTAGACTCTTCAATGGCTACAACAATGTAGTCAAACTTGGGGTCCAATGAACGGAGGATTTTTTCTATCACCCAGGTATCATCATAGTGATCATCACCATAAATCCTCAAATTATTCACAACCACCAAGATTCTTGTGAAATAATCTGAAATTAATTCGGTTTTCTTCATATGTAAAGCCTCAAATTCACCTCGTAAAGTTTGAAGGCAAACTTTCTTGACTTTTTCCACTCCACTATGAGTGGTTTTCAGAACATCCCATGTTTGCTTCGATGTGGTTGCACTAGCAACCTTCTGTAGCATAGCATCGTCCAAGCATTGATGGATGAGTGAAAGAGCCTTTTGATCCTTCTTCTTTGTAGCTTGCAAGACTTCTTTTTGGGCTTGACTTAGGGAAGCTTCATCTTGCGGTGTTGTGTAACCAATTGTTACAATCTCCCATAAATCTTGAGATCCAAGAATTGCCTTCATGCAGATACACCAATTCTCATAATTATCTTTGGTAAATTGAGGCATTTGAAATGGAAGCATTCCATTTGCCATCTCTCTCTCACTCTCTCTTTTCAACACTTAAGCCTAGCTTTGATTCCACTTTGTTGGAATCTAGAGGACTATCACACACTCACTAAAAAAATATAATGGAAGAGACTATTGAAGATTGGAAGAACTTTTTCTATTCACTTATATCAAAAATGGATGTATTATGTAGGATATATATAGACTCTCATGACATACAAAATAACCCCACTACATAGTGTAATAATGAAAATAATAAAGACCCCACTCCTCCATTGCTTGGAGAATTAAAATACCACAATTACTTAGTCCCCCCCCCCCACTAATATCAAATTGATGACCCACTAATACAAAAAACTAGATGCATAAAAATAACTTCTAAAATATGAAAAGTCATGTTTAATATTACTTTTCCAATAGTTCAACACATTTAAACCATGTCTAGATAGTTAAAGTCCTATTTGAACATGAGTTATTCCCCATGTATTTTTGGTAGTGCATGGAGGAGTACATATGTCTATCATATAGAACCTAGAGTTCTATCTGATAAAATAGAGGCCTAACAAACTTACAGTGCTTCTCGATGGTATTTCTCCATAGTTCGCCTCCATCCAGGCAAAATATCTTGAAAACATACAAATAGTTAAAGGAATCAAAAGATTTACAAAAACCTCAACTAGAAACAGAGACAGGATACATGAGCGTAAGCGTGCGTGTACACGTGAGAAAGAGAGAGAGAGAGAGAGAGATTAAAATGTGCCACGACCAATGAAATTCTTATAGACTATTTAACATAGAAAAAATTGTTCCTTCACAAGAGAAACGAATTGTTTCTGAAAATTACCTGTGGAGGGCCAAACATTTGGCCCGTAAAATGGCTTCTTTGCGTTAGAATCATTATCAGGTACTTCAACACCAATATAATATCCCTCCTTGTAATCTCCTGAATCCATAAAATAGGACAATCACTTTTTTGCCCAAGTATCATATATAATGTTGACAAACCACAAATGACAAACAAGCAACCAACTGAAAGAAAAAGAGGAGCAGGACAAATGCAGCCAAATCATAGGACAGTGTTTCATAGTGTGAAGGCAATAATACAGTCGAAACATAAAAAATATATACACACATACTGCATAGACATGTATACTAACACATAAAAGTGGCCATAAACAAATGTTGGTCCTGTGATATAGGGTGTTGGGATTGGTGTGGACATAAATTTATCCTTCAGCATTATGTAGACTTGCACAAGTATGTGTCCTTACATGCAAGCAAATTACAGTTTGTTGAAGACCAAGTCAACCAGATCGTTCTAGTTTATCTATAGCACTTGACCATCATCCACGGCCATACCTACTCTTCTGGCCTTCCACTTGATCTACCGATAGTTACTAAGATATTTCACGGGAGTACTACTCCTGGTAACTTTTGTCACTGATTGGGGCACAGAGGTTTTCTATTATGTTTGGCGTTCAAATTCTATTGTGAAGGGGAAAACAGTGGTATGACCGATATTCGACCCAAGGCCTTTTTAGTGAGGAAAACTTGTGTCAACCATGATATCATTACTATTGTGTGCATGATGTGTGGGTAACATCTTAAGGAATTCTTTTTGCATAGGTCTTTCTGGCATTCTCCTTATTTAAGAAAATATTCAAAGGTCTTCACTAAAACTTGTATCAAATACAACATTGCATAGACTGTTACATTATGTTATTCATATTGCTATATTGTTGCTTCATTCAATTATTACTAACCTTGTACTTGATTGATAGGACCCAAATGTTCATCTAGAACAGGGGCATATCCTCAATGCTTCTTGTTCCTTAGAAGCTTCATTTTTTCCTTTATGGGTAGATCAAAGAACCTTTTGCTTTGGGAAAAAACCTCATCCATGAATTCCTAACTGATTCCATGATTGTTAACATAGTAGAAACCAGACTCCAAGCAAGCCTAATGCACAAGTGATTAACCAATATACTTAAGCCCAGAAAATAATATCATTTTAGATGAGATGTAACCAATATATGGGGAGGAGACAAAGCACATAAATTAGGGTCTAGAACTCAAAATTGTCAATTGTTCCAACTCCATCATGTGGGTTGAGGACTGAAACTGTCTATAATTATTGATAGTGTCTAGCAAATAAAAAAAATTAGCACAATGGGCCAATTCAGTTGTTACTCAGAACTAACAAGCACGAGGTCGTCAGCTTCTGTAAAATTGGACCAAAATATTGGAAATAAATGAAAAAATAGGCAAATTGCTACATATTGGCATAAAAAAGAATGGTTCCCGAGGAAAAAAAGAGGGAAAAAAAAGGTATTGAAATCTACATTAATTATACATCCTTCGACATCATTCAGGCTAGTTGATCTTCAGTTTTATCCAATCATTTTATGTATATGTTCCTGATTTCCTCAGCTATGTTATCTGACATACAAAATGCAACGGACAAGAATTGTAAATGGAGCAAAAAATACTAAATATCACTTAGTGCTTCATAAAAATCCTCTGTGAAATTATAGAATCGAAAACAAATATTAAATCAACATTTAATCAACTGATCGCGACTATTTTTTGACAGGTTTAATGATTCACCAAGAAATAATCAAATTGAATCATGCTTATAATCCATAGCCTGCTAAGAGCAAATATTTTCGTATGTGTTTGAGTAGAGAAACAGAGTATTGAATATCAGAACTAGAGAGATCGATACAATTCAGAAAAGAAACTGTGGTAGAATTCAGAAGAGATTTGATAGCTTCTTCATCTATGTTCATCATTTTCAAGAATCAAATTACAACAGACCTTAGGTCACGAATTTTACATACGGGAAAAACAGAGTTCTCGTTCACTATAGAGAGCGAGAAATGGTTGTGACTTGACAATTGACAACCACTTGGAGACAACATTTGACATGGCAATTGACAACCACTTGAGTGGTGTTTGGATACTGGGTTAAAAATGGTTATCCACTAGTTGGAAGAGATAAAATAGAATTCAGAAGAGATTTGATAGCTTCTTCATCTGTGTTCATCATTTTCAAGAATCAAATTACAACAGACCTCAGGTCACGAATTTTACATACGAGAAAAACAGAGTTCTCGTTCACTATAGAGAGCGAGATGGTTGTGACTTGACAATTGACAACCACTTGGAGACAACGTTTGACATGGCAATTGACAACCACTTGAGTGGTGCTTGGATACTGGGTTAAAAATGGTTATCCACTAGTTGGAAGAGATAAAATAGAGTGACATAAGTACACTAAGACCCCTACCATTTGATTATATCGACTTTATACCTTTATCTTATCTTTTGTTTTCGGTAAGCCTCCTGTACTCGATGCTCTGTTTGGTAAATAAGGATGGAAAGTAAGAAGGATAGAAAGTAAGAAAGATGTACTTTCTATTGTTCAATGAAAGAAAGTAGGAATGATATAATTTTCTTCCTTTGTGTTTGGTTAGATGAATGAAAAATAAAAATGATTAATTTTTTTTTGTGCTTGCTAAGATTAGGGTGACGATTGAGTCGTGTCAAGTTATTGTGTGTTCATGTCAAATATTAGTGAAACATAACTTAACTCATTTAACGAATCGTGGCGTGTCGAGTTGACCTATTTTATTTTTGTATCGTGTTCGCATTTGTATTTATGTTGACCTACATAAACTTTGAATAAAAAAATTAATGCTAATATTTTATTTTGACTTAATTGAATCCATGCTCATATTTTTTTATAATCTAAAAATTAACTTAAATAAATATAATAATAATAATAGGTAAAAATATATTTTTTATATAATAATTATGTCAGTGCTTAATAAATAGTTACAAATAATTAACATTTTATGTCTATAATACTAGTTAAACATGTTAATTTTGTGTTACAATATAAACGAGAAAATAGAGAAAATGTATATTCTTAAATAAACGGGTTGATGTGTCAATTTTGAATTTGACGGGTTCGATTGGATATGAACCGTTTATATTTCGTGTTTGTGTGTCAGATCATTTTCCAGTTTGTGTCATAAAATTTATGTCGAATTCGAGTCGTGTCATCGTGTTGAGTCAAAAAATTACACCCCTAACTAAGATGTAAATTTTTTTTTTTTAATTTTTAAATTTTTAAAAAAATAAATAAATACATATTTTATCATTGTATTTATATATGAAATTAACGTATACATAATATATGTATATATCAAAAGGTATATAGACAAATAAGATATATTTTCACATAAATAATTAACTTTTCATTCACTTTCGTTCCGATTTGGGGGGATTGATTTTAGTAAGTTGGAAGGAAAGCTCATTCATCCACTTTTTCATCCCTCCTATTTTCCTTCCTTACCAAACATGATGTTTTATTTATCTCTTAAACTTTTCATCCTCCCAACTTTCCGTCCTTCCATTTTCCATCATACCAAACAGAGCATAAGTGTTATTACTCGAGCCTATTTAGCTCTTGGATGAAGAAAAAATTAACTTAGATGGTGTTTCATAAAACTAAAAGCTAAATTTTTTAATTTGCAGATTGTTTGGTATCAACTGAAATTTAAATATTTAATGGAATCAAACTGTTTGACAAATATAAAGAGTTGAAGTCTAAAAATTATTATTATTCTAATTTTATCCTTTTTTAACTATCTCTTTGCAACTATCTTATTCCTACCTCCACCACCACAATGGTAGTGGTGGTGGTGGTGGTGGTAGTAATAGTGGTGATGGTGGTGGTAATAACAGTGGTGGCACAATAGTAGTGGTGCTGGCGACAACACAATGATGGTGGTGGTGGCGGTGGTGATGGCACAATGGTAGTGGCGGTGGTGGGCGGCCGATGGGTGGTGATGATTTTAGTAATGGAGGCATAATAGTGGTGGTGGTGGAGATTGCACAATGGTGGTGGTGACGATGGCAACACAATGGTGGTGGTGGATGGTGGGTATTGAAAAATTAAGAGTGTCAAATGCATTAAAAATATATTTTTCAATTATGAAGAATTGATAAAATTCTTACTGAGTAATTTCATCTTTAAGTGATAAGTAGGTGTCTTGTTACATAAAATTTTAGCCTATTTTTAAGAAGTGCTTAAAATATTAAGTGGTATGAGTTTTTAGGTTATCAAACGAGTTTAATTCATTAAGTATTTAAAGCCTTCAATTTTAAGTTTTAAGTGGTATTATCAAACAAGCCCTTAATCTACTAATATAAAGATATGTCACAATAAAAAAGTATAAGAGTTACCGTCTCACAATAACATGATTGTACTATTTTACTATCACATCATTGAGTTGGTAAATTAGATCAATTTGTTGCATCCTATAAATTTTTCTCTGATCTCTTTGGAAAGTTTGTTATATTTTTTTATTAGGTCGATAATAGATCCCATCAAACATTCATTACAAATATATTGTAACTTGATCACATCGTATTTATGTGTATATTAACAAATATTTTATTAATAATTAATGATACACAAATTGATTTTAAGCACCACCTGTAAAGTAATTAATGTAGTAAATAAATAAGGAGAGAGTCAACACAAGCAAAACATAATTTAAGTGGTTCAATCAAGGTGACCTACTACACTATAAAGGGCTAAGATGGCCTAGATATTTTATTGCTTCAAAGAATGTTGGGTGCTCAAGTGTGAGTAATAGGCGAGATATAAGATGTGAGAGTTGCCCCCTATGTGTAAGCAGGACTTACAATTTATAGGCGCTTCCTAATAGATTGAGGCGCCTTATTGATAACAAAAAGGCTGATTTGGTGGTGTGGACGCCATCTTCGCCACAGGTGAGGCAGTTGCCAAGCGGGCGTGGAGACGTCCTCAAGACCAGGTCTTAGGATGACTTGGTAGACTTCCTCACTCTAGGATGGCGTGGATAAGGCTCTAGGATGGTGTCGTTGACTCCTTCACTCTAGGATGGCATGACTATTGGGG